TTATAAGTCTCTTGGTTTCTTATAGTAGTGTTATATAGATATTTTTCTTTGTATATGTCTTTTGTTACTCTGGTTAGATTTATTGCTAAGTGTTTCATCTTTTGGGTGTTGTTGTTGTTAGGTACCATCAAGTCAGTACCAACTTACAGCAATGCTATGCACGTCAGAATGAAACGCTGCCTGGTCCTGCACCAACCTCACAATCTTTGCTACGTTTGAGCCTATTGCCACTGTCATTGTACCAGTCCACCTCATTGGGGGTCTTCCTCTTTTCTCCAACCCTCCACTTTACCAAACATGATATCCTTCTCCAAGAAGTGGTCCCTCCTGATATTATGTCTGAAGTATGAGAAGTCTTGCCATCCTGGCTTCTAAAGAATATTCTGGTTGTACTTCTTCCCATACATTTGTTTGTTCTTTTAGCAGTCAATAGTGCTTTGAATATTTCCCTCTAACAACTTAATTCAAATGTACCAATTTTTCTACCATCTTCCTTATTCACTCTCCAACTTTCACATGCGTAAGAGACAATTGATCAGGTGCACCTTCGTCCTCAAACTTGCATCTTTGTTCTTTAACACTTTAAAGAATTTTCAATATTCAATATTCTGGTGCTGATAGTGTTCCACTGCTCTTCATAATGTTTTCAGTGACAAAATATTTGGATGTCGTCCATCTCTCCTTAGTTTGTCTTTGTCTGAAAGCTCAGCTGAAATCTGTCCACCATGGGTGACCTTGATGATATTTAAAATACCCCTGGTGGCATAGCTTCCAGAATCACAACACACAAGCCACCACAGTATGACAAACTGACAGACGAGTGGTGTATCTTTTGGATAGCTACTATACATGGTATTGTTTTCATAATTTCCTTTTCAGGGTGGGACAGAGGAATTCAGCTTACTTTTGTAATAGATCTTGCACCCTGCTAGTTTACTGAATCTTACAGTGAGTTCCAATTCCTTGCTGACTTTTTGGAATTTCCTACATATAAGTCATATCATATACAAATAGAGTTTTACTTCTTTGACAATTTGGATGCCTCTAGTTTCCTTTTCTTGCCTTACAGCTTTGGTTAAGACTTCTAAAGGATAATTTCTCCTTATCTGGGAATGTTCTAATTTCACTGTCATATTTGAGGGACAGTTTCCTCAGTATATGAGTGTTGGTTGGTAATATTTTTCTTTCTGAGTTTTGTATATATGTCTCCATTGCCCTCTTCCCTGCATGATTTCTGTTGGGAAGTCAATGCTTAATCTTCTTGGTTATTCTTTATACATAACATTTTGGTTTTCCCGAGCTGCTTTCAAGATTCTTTCCTTGTCTTTGATTTTGAAAAATAGGTTTATGATAAGTCTTAGTGATTTTCTTTTGGGATCTGTCCTATTTGGGGTTTGTTCAGTTTCTTGAATGCTTATCTTCTCATCTTTCATGATGTTTGGGAAATTTACTTCCAACAGCTCTTCTACTGTCTTTTCTTTGCCTCTTCCTGTTCTGGAATTCCAGTCACCCGTAAGTTATTGTTTTTTTCTGATTGTTCTTCTAGTTTACCAGCATTGAGAGATTTATCTTCAGGTTCACTAATTTGAACTTCCACCGGTTCAAATCTACTCCTTTGCTCTTTCAATGTACTGTCCAATTCTGATATCTTAGTATTAATCTTCTGGATTTCTATTTGCAGGCTTTATTTTGGTTCCAGTCCTTTATCTGTTTTGGTTGATTATTCCTGTAGTGCTTTCCTGAATTCTTTCTTTTTTCCCCTGACCTTTCTGTCAGCCATCTGTTGCTGTCATTGTTAGGTACTGTCAAATCGGTTCTGACTCATAGTGACCCTACATATAACAGAACGAATCACTGCCCGGTTTTGCACCCTCCTCATGACTGCTGCTATGCTCAGGCCCACTGTTGCTGTCATTGTGCCAGTCCATCTCATTGAGGGGCTCCCTCTTTTCTGCTGTCCCTCCACTTTACCAAGCATGATGTCCTTTTCTAGGGTCTGGTGGTGGTACCCAAACAGGGTCAATGCAAATAGCTCCCCCATCTTTAATGGGGCTCACAACTGTTTTGCTCATGTCCCTGTGGCTCTGAATACAGGGTGCCTCTGGTCACCAAGGGACTGTGAGGAAGAAAAAAAAAAAAAAATCGCAACTTTATTGCTGTGGGCCACAAGTAGGTTTTGCGACCCCAATGCATTCTTGTCTCTGACACTATTCACAAAAGTTTAAGATGGCTGTGACACATCTGGCCGGCCACCACAAGTCATCAGTCTTTCCTTTTTTTGCTGCATCTGCTCAACTCTTTCTCCAGTAAGCATCCATTCTTCTTCTCTGTGCCTTCATCTGAAACCTACATCAGCATTCCAGGGCTGCCATCTGCTTCTGTCTACCATCTGCCTAGTCTATCATCTTGCCCCACCTTGTGTGCGAAATACTTTTAAGACATATTAATCTCATTTAATCATACAGGAATTGGTATTAATATTTTTTATTTTACATGAGAATTTAAGAAAATTGTTCATGTATTCTAAATGAACTTATGCAGCTAGTAAGTGGCAGATTAATTCATAAATAGATTTTGTAATATAATTTAGATGAAGTTATAATGATGTAGAAGTAGAAAGGGATTTCAAGAAAAATCAGAGGGAAGGAAGCTCAAGATCTTTGTGGGAGAGAAGAATTACTAAAGTGTCCCAGGAAAGTTAAGTGTGTACAAGGAGAATAAAACAAAGTCATGATCCCTCACATCTTCACAAAGAAAGTGTTATAATATAGCCTATACAGTCTTTATGGATATGATCGGCATGCCTTATATAATATGTGAACCCACTGGAATAATAACAGAAATCAGTCACTTTCTTCCTCCCATGTAATGGCAGTTTTTTTTTCCCTGTAGAAGAGTTAGAACAAATACTGACTAGAAAATGTGCATTGAAATTTAGAAGAATGTAGGAGGGATGTTTAGGGTAACAATTGGAAGAAAAGAAAAAAAAAAAAAACACAGGATCAAGAATAAAAGTTGAAAAAAAGAAAAGCAGTGTTGGCGATGATTTACCTCTAATTATAGGATCAGGCAGTGTTTTGTTCTGCTGTGCATAAGGTCGGTACCGACTTGATGGCACCTAACAACAACAACAACATATGCCTATATTTAACCACTTGGACTCTTGGTGTGGCACTATAGGATAAGCACTAGACTGTGAATCACAAGGTCAGTGGTTCAAACTTATCAGCTGCTACTCGGAAACCCTATACAGGTTTTCTGTGAATCAGAACCAACTCCACAGTACTTAACAGCAACAATTTAATCACTTACCGCTTTTAAGACCAGAATTATTGCTTTATTGAACTAGTAACTTCATTAATTCAAAACCAGTTGGATTTGGTTTGTTTATGTTCTGTTTTAAGGGGAGGAAAAAAAAAAAACCTTTGCTGATTTGTGTTTACTATGCAAAGTGTAACACTTAAAACATAAATAATTTCTTAAAAACATGTACTCTAAATACATACTTACAAGCATGGTGGCTCCATACTATAAGCACTGAACTTTAAACCACAGGGTCCGTGGTTTGATCCCAACAGCTGCTCTACAAAAGAAAAATGAGACTTTTTGCTTCCTTGAATATTTAAAGCCTCAGAAACCCTATAGGGTCACTGTGAGTCAGCACTAATTCAGTAGCACAGAACACCACCAGCAATTACATACTTAGGATTTCCTTTACAGTTTTTGAATAAAGATAAAAGGAAAATGAAGGAATGGAGGTCAAATAAATGTGGCAACATCTCAATAATTGTTGATTCTGGGGACTGGGCATTTTGTGAACTGAATATTTTGTACAGACAGTTTTTGTGCAATTCTCATGATGTTGAAGTTTTTTTCATAATACTAATTTGAATACATTTTCTCATTTCTGCTATCGAAATATTCTAATGAAGACTCATTACTAAACTTTCTGAGTTTTGCTCATGGTGGATTATAAATGGGATGATTTTATAAAAGACATTGTTTAAACATAGCAGAGAAGAAATGACCATGTATACCTTAACATTAAATGAAAATTCTCTAGCCAAAAAATAAAATTATAACACAGCTTTTATGGTACTTTAAAAAAAAAACATAGAAAACATAAAAAGAAGAATTTATATAAATTATCTTAAACAGCTTTCAAACATCTACTCTACCAGTGGTTCTCAGCATATGAATTTAGTTTATAAATGCATATGTAAAAGAAGCATCATTTGTAGACCAAATATTTATGTATATTTATATTTCTTACATACTGTATATATGTGTGTATAAAACTAACTTTCAAATGCATGAGGCTGCTTAATATGTTTCCTCTACCCTTCTGTCTGTCTGTTGTGCTGTGGGGGCATGGTGTTGCTGTGGTCCGAGAAGCTATGCCACTGGTATTTCAAACACCAGCAGGGTCACCCCTGGTGAGCAAATTTCAGCAGACCTTTCCAGATTAACAGGCAGGGACCAGGCAAAAAGGAAATCTTCCTCCAGAAATTAGCCACCAAAAAGCGTTTTGATCAGAACAAAATAGTGTCCAGCTGACTTAACTTTGGACACATCATCAGGAGGACTCAGTCACTAGAGTGTGGGCATCATGTTTGGTGACTAGAGGGCAAGTGAGGACCAGAGAAAGCTTCCATGAGATAGATTAGCACAGTAGCCACAAGGATGGATTCCAACATGCCAGTGATCAGGGTGATGGGGAAAGACAGGACAGCTCTTCCTCCTGTTATACATAAAGTGACCATAAGTTAGCGTCAACTCTTATTTCCTATCCACTGTGATGAATAAAACACATGTTAATTTGCAAAGCATTTCTGAGCTCATTGTGGCCTTTTTTTTGTTGGGGGTGGTCAAGATACACATTTTCTTAATGCTTTGTTACTGAAACTATAGTAGTAACTTTGGAAATCTCTGAATTATTTTTAGTTTAATAGCATATTCATGGTGCTTTCCCCCCCCCCTTTCCTAATGTCTGTCCCCAGGGATTGGTGTGTGCTGGATTGGCTGACATGGCCAGACCTGCAGAAAAACTCAGCACAGCTCAATCTGCTGTTTTAATGGCTACAGGTAAATTAAATAAGTATCAATGTTCCATAGGGGATATTCATTGTTTGGTTTTATATCAATTTATTGAACAGTTTAGTATTTGGAACACACACACATATTGATAGGGTTTCCTTTAGGATGTTGGTGAATTATGGATGGAGGGGACAAAGGAGACTTATAGTGAAATTCTGAGTGGGTTTTGTTATTCCATGTTTTTCCATAGGCATATTTTATAAATAGGGTAAAAAATGTTGCAGTTAAAATACAGTTTAAAGAGTCCCCTTTAATGTAAGAATAGAGTATTTTGTGTAACACTGAATTAGACTTTATTGAAAACTCAGCGTATATCATTTATTTGTCATCCTACAATAGTATTGTCATATTCTCATTTATAATTAGTTTAGTATTAACTGTGCAAGTGGCACTGTGGGGTAATGCAAAGTCAGTTTGAACCATAAGGTTAGCAGTTCAAGCTCACCAGCACTCCTTGGGAAATCTTTATAGGGTCACTATAAGTTGTAACTGCCTCGATGTCACTTAACAACAACAA